AGAAATTGCGCCGCTCTAGGGCCAAAACCGCTGCATGTGAAACACGCTGAAGATTGCGTGAGCACCTCGTCAATTACGGTTTAGGAATAGAACGACAGAATTTGCGGTTTGCCACAACCTATTGAGTGGTAGGCCAAAAGGTTTTTAAACGTGTTTAATCTGCCATAGGACGAAGAAGAAAGAGCCTAGGCTGGATAGAGAAAAAAGTAAAAGTCAGTTGTTAGTCAGCGGTGTGTTTGTTCAGACCTTTCTTTCGTGTCCTCGTTTTTTCTGTGTTCAGTTGACCCGAATGCCAAAAGAAAACTCACCGGAGAAAATCTCACCGCCAAGCCGTCCGATGCAGAGAATAGCTCTCCGGCCTTTTGACGGACGCGGAGACAAGCTCACTTTCGAATCTGTGAACCGAGCACTCCCTCAACTGAAATTCGCTCCCTCAATAGAAGCATGTTCGGATGCCATACGTGCAAGCGGTCATACTGCATTTCACGAACAAATATTATATGTTTAAGAATACCTATTTACAGAATTCGTAGCACAATAAAACTGAAATCGAATAAAAATATATAAACCGGTAATTGAAAAATAGCCGGGCGGAAATATAACCAGTGTAGTAGGCTGCCGCCTGAGTAGTTCCTTCCTGAATTGTTATATATTAAATTACCTTTCATGTGCTAGTTGCGTATGCTACATTTCCAAAACTTCACATGTCGACTTTTAAAAAGACACGGTTTTAATATGTTAAGCTCTTCCAATGAGCAGCTAAATAAAATTGATATTTCCTCTATCTCGGCAATGTCACAATCAAATATGGCAACACACGCGAAAAAACGCTGGACACAAAAGCGGAATGATGGCTGCCGCAAAGCGCTTTTTTTTAATGTTTACCCCCTGCACGGGAACGCCTGTAGAGTTATTTCCACTACTGCTTCTAAAATGTTCAACCCAGTCCAAGAATAGAGGAACAAATTCACACGATAGAATAAACACTGAATAGATAAAGACTACCTTACATAAAAATTGATTTCTAGGTGAGCTTTTCCCCGGGTCTGTCTAAAGACTGGTGATCTTTTCTCCGGGCCCGCACAAAAGTAGCGGAGCTTTTCTCCGGGACTTGGGCACGAGAGCTTTGCTCTGACGAGTGCTTCGGCTGCACAAGGAGCGGCCTTCGAATCGACATCTTCGATTTATTAGATGAAAACCAAACGAGAGAATACGGCTTGTTGTCTCCACAACTGAAGCGTACACCGCTAGAAGCGTGACTGTTCGATCTTCTCTCCAATACAGAAGCACATTGAGGCACCCTAGTTGGCAAGATTCATAGGTAGACGCAAAGCTATAGCTGGTTTGGTCTCCATTGCACTCGTCGAATGTGTTAGAATGCACAACGCCTGCCTTCGGCGTCTGTCTTCCACATTCGAACCTGTTCGACAAGTGCAGAAGAAACGAAGGCAGTGCGGTGGAGACCTTTACGTCTATCCATTCATCATTTCAAGGAGAGCACGTAGTTCTGACACCTTCGCGAGCTTTCCTCTCCTCCTCTCTCTTTTTTCTGTCCGTATAGGCGCGAAGCAGACGAAGTCAAAGCACTTGTCCGTGTTATAGCCAATCGTGTCCACGGTAACACTCGAACACGAGATTGGAGCAGCAAAATATTTCTAAGGTATTACGAGATATGCGCTCGTAGGCGATAGGTTGACGTAAAGAGCCTAGATTTAAGAGAGGGGGCAACTCAAGCCATGGGGGGCGTTCGCAAGAAATAGACACCTCCTTCGTAGATTGGTTGCGTATGTGCATCCGTCCACGTCGCGTGGCTAGGAGGGTAGTGGACAAAGAGTGGCTGAGCGAAGGCTGGGGACACTTAGGTTGGAGACGGTTGCGGACGACCGGCGCTTTCGCCTTCTACTCGCGGTTCTTATTGGAAACGAGGCCCGTAAACCACGTGACGCCGACCGAGTGCTTGGAGTCACTCTCAAATCTCGGCACGCAAGTTTTACGCACAGTCCACCTGAGTTAAGAACAGATATGTGACGAAAACGAACCGAAAAATGAGTTTCATAGATATAATTTTGAACAATTCATTTCGAGAAAAAAAAAAAAAAACTGCTAAAGCATTAAATTCATAAGGACTTTAGGGGCACTGAAAAGACAGCGAGAACAGCTTCGGAGTTAGGGCAATATGGCAAAACCACCAAATCGCGAAATTTATATTAACGTTTCGTTCATATGAGCCCCGTGAATATATACGCCGCAGTATAAACAACATTTTTGAGGGAAGAACTGGGAAAATGCAAAACTTTCTGGCTCGTTCTTACAGACGACTCACATTGTGAATAATTATCGGGGGAACAGAGGTGTCTATAATGAGCAGTGTCTGCTCTGTTCCATGGGCGCCGCCATGTTTGTTTATGCTGACGCCAAGAAACAATAGGGGGCTGCTCTTTTTGCAAGACTCCGTTTCTTAGAAGCCTTCGCACATAACGTGGTGCAAGAACGTCACAAACAGAAGTTTCCCTAGGAATTGAAATTAGGGGGGGGGGGGGAGCGTATCTAAAAGTTTAGGGGGAGCGGGGGTCGGAAGGGAGGGAGGGGGGGGGGGGGCATTGAGAATAGAGGAGTCGTTGCGAAACAAGGGGGTGTCTTCAGAAAAACAAGTTGGCTGTACGCCCCCCCCCCCCCCCCCCCCTAGGGGGTGTGTAGGGAAATCACTGGTCACAAATGCATAGTCACGAAGCTCCGGGAACAACACTGATGTCAGGAGTGCTATAAAAAGCAAATATATATATATATATATATATATTTTTTAAGTTCAGTACCTCTTTTCACAATAGCCTGCGTTTGAGAGACTATTTCAAACTTTGGTCTATAAACGAGGCTTGACCTAGCAGTGCGTGATGCTGCACCAACTGAAGAGCGTAACTTACTACGATGAATTGGCAAGAATTTTATGATAGAACAAAGAGAGTGCACGGGTATTCAGGACTCCCATAGCAAAATGCTTATCGTCTTCGGTGTTCTTTAAATTGCGGAAGAGATCTTGCTACCATTATATATTCGCGTCTCCAGTTCGACGCTCGCCCTCCCGCGGCGGAAACGGGAAGCGCTCTAGTGAGGTTCCGCCGATTCTCCTGCTCAGCGGGCACGGCGGAACTGCTCACGATCATGGCTCGCTAAATGTCATTTCCGAATGCAAACAACACTCTTCACTGTCCCAACGTGGTGCTGCAGTCGGTTATGGGAATGTACCTTATTAGAGAGTTTTAGTACTGCGCATAGAAGCAAACGCAAGCGGTGTGCTTTTGCGTTAGAGTTGCGTGCCCCACGTGCGTGCGCATCATCGCCATGCGCCGTCCAAGACCGCAATTTCGGGCTCCGCGCACGCGCAGTGTGGAATACGCAAAGCTAACGTAAACGCACAGGGCTTGAGTTCGCTCGTATACGCAATATTAAAACTCACTACTGTTTCACCAGCTTCCAACGCCTTCGAAACGCGCTGCAGTGAGCAGACGTGCAAGCAGGTAGGCGTTCCTTCGAACTGGAAAGGCTGAGATTGGCAAAACGACGGCAAGCAAATACAAAAGTAAATAAATGTTATTAAAAAAACTAATAATTAGAAAAAAAAGTTTTTTTTTTTTTTTACTTTTGGGCATTTGGTTTAGAAGTATATTGGCGGCGACTTTGGACGTTTCGCCGGTTGTCAAAAGTCGCGACTTTGATAGCACAATATACTTTACCCACAATTAATGTAATTTTACATGGATTTCTCACATTAGCTAGAATGTTTTCATTGATTTTAGACTATTTTTATTTTATTGGTAACTAAAATGCAGCAATTGGAACCAGTGATGATAATTAGCGCAGTTTTCATTGTCATATTTCTTCGAGCGTTTAAAATTAGACCATAAGCAACAAATTATATTAGAGCTTGAAGAATTACTGATTCAAATATATGAATTTTAATATTATTATTATTAATACAAATCGTGGCAATGTATGCCTCCAATTAACGCCAAGATCACGAGAAATAGTCTTTCCAGAAAGGTATGATTCTGTTTTCTTTTTAGCATATGAAAAACTCTGACATAGTTATCAAGATAGACAGACAGTCAAACACTGGATGTAATATGAAGTCCTACGCGTCACGCGGTGCTATAAAAACACGCACTCACTTCAGCTGTCTGACTCGGATTCCATCTTTGGGTTGTTGCAGTGAGAGCAGCGTTTATTAGTTTATGCGTTTCGTGGACATAATGTAAAATTTGAATTATTCTCTTATTTTTGTGCTGGGATAATTGTCATTATTTCCCATGACAATTATCTGAGCGAGAAAAAGGCAACGAGAACGCACAGATATTAGCACTGATTTTTTCAACAACTACAAATCTCAGCCTGGATCGAACAGTATGTGTCACAAAATAAAGTTTCCGCGAACAACTTTTCTAAGTAAATAATTACGATGTGAGACACATCTTGAGTCATGGAAGAATCCGAAATTAAGACCTATATCGAGAAAATATATCCAAAATAGAGGTAAGTTTCGGTTTCGCTCCACAATTAAAACGCGCATCCTTCCGTAAATAATACGCTAAACACCGTTCTTGTTTCAGGTTAAAGAGGTGACCTGCGCTCATAAAACATTAGCTTCCTCGTATTACCAGAAATAATTTATGTCGGTTAGTGAAGCCAGCACACTAGACAGGCTCAACAGCGGCACGCATCTTTGACCCTCACTAAACCCGCCATCTTGTAAAATGAGTGGCGCCACCTATAGTTAGTTGGAGTCGCGAATAGCTACAGCCCTTTTAAGATCACCCCCCCCCCCCCCCCCCCCCCAATTGCACCCCGTATCTACTCTCCCTATTTTCCTCTCACCACAATTCGTCTTAAGTACGAGGCCTTACACTAAAGCTTATTAGAGACAATGTTAATCGATGAATTCGTTTTAATGAGGATAATCGTATACCGCGGCGAGCGAGGGAAGTTCCCTTGGCGTCTCTAATTACCACGTCAAGATTAGGTTCAGCCAACACCTCGTCGGGGAACAGTTGGTGGTGAACTCTGGGTGCGTCGATGGCCTCCTTGATGGTGTGGTTCATCCACAGCGCCCGCATCACCACCTGCGTATTTAAAATTTAACTCAAAAGAAAGCTAGAATAGAGAGGTTTAGGGAACCGTTTTTGCATATCCGATGAGGTACGGTGGGCACTCCGGTAAGGGTAAGAACTGTACATGTTCGAGACTTCCGCAGTGGCACATGCAAAGTTCGTACCGGAGGGCCCGTCGTACCGCATCGGATATGCAAAAAGGCGTTCCCTAAAACGCTCTAAAAACTCCTAGAGACACCGTAGTTAAAGCCTCTTTATACCGAAAAGCAACTATGCCCTTTCAACTACGCAGCTTGCTTTGCTGAGACGATCGTGATTGAGGGCGAGCGCGAGAGAGGATGAAATAATGCGTGCGGTTTAGTACCAGGAGGAAGAGGAATGCCCATGTCAAATACTTCAGTATAGGTGTATATTCTACTCCGCTCATTTGCATTAAACGGCACGTGTACAACTCTAAATCCTCTCTAAGGGCTCATTCACACTGGAAGCGGATCCGCGTTCGCAAAGCGGTTGCGAACGCGGTTGTATAGACGCTTTACACACGCGCCAAATTACGGCCGCCATTGCTGCCCTTCTCTTGTCTTTCCCAGTTGCCCAGCCACTAAAGCGGACGTTGACAAGCCTCCAGAAAGGCCAATGCTGCGGAGAAGGACACTTTAGAAACTAAAATGGCAATAACCTGCCCCGCTATGGTAACGATGAAGTGAAGTAAATGTAATAATAGGAAACAAGAACTGAAGGTCGGTTATGGCGGCGCCCATGCACAGCTGCTGCAAAGCGTCTATAAGGATTCAGTACAACTGCACGCGCATTTGATGACATCAAATGCGCGTGCAATACGCCTCGCAAGTGGGCTCATTTTCGTCTTCTGCGCATAAGAAAGGAAGTAGCGGTGACGTCAGAACGCCGAACTCTCATTGGCTTATCGCGACCCCTATCTCAGCGTCGTCTGCTCCTTTGCAACGTCGTCTGCTCGCAACGTCGTCTGCGTCTGTCTTACCTTTCCTGCGACTTTCGGAGCGAACTCGACCTCGCATTTAAGAGAGGGCAGACGAAATAACTCGAGCGGTACGTTGTTTTTGTCTAACAACTAGCAGACGCGCATCAAGGAAAGAAGTCAAAGGACTCACTGGCGAGGTGTCCCGGGGCGCCGAGGTTTTTTTGCTTAGAACCGAGGCAAGTTCCCTCCCAAATACTTTTTCCCTCCATTCGTGTGCGGCGAGACCCCTCACTCTTTAACGGCGTCGGCGGGTTGGCGCAGTTAACGTAGTCTGCTTTACGTCTGCTAGTCAAAGCGGTCAAAGCGATGGCTGCTTTACCTTTGCTGCGTCTGTCGGAGATTCACCGCTTTTTCATCGGCGAGAGTCACCGTTGCCTCGGGAAACAAGGAGATAACAAGAGGAAGAAATTGACCCCTTAATCTAAAATTGAGGTCAGCAATCAAAATATTATACGGGAAGGGTTCACAAGGGTCGCGCGGGCATATTCCACTCAGCACGCCAGCCGGTAGTGGGCAGACGGTCACCGAGTCGCGAGAGCCTGCTAGGCCTAACTGCCCAGCTCGTTCGGTCGCGTTCGGTGGGATCGTGGCCGTGGGAGCTTTTCCCGGGTGTTTGTGGATCCAGCGTTCTTGTTCGTCGTGGTCTGTTTCAAGTACTTTTTACTTTTTTCTTGCTGCTTGAAGTCGGGACGCGTCAGAACCGCACGCAAAAAAAATAAACGTCCGTGGGTCGTCGCGACCGCGACGTTGTCGGCCATGCTGATTTGATCGTAAGAAGTGCGTAAGACAGCTTCGGAGCTGTCGTTGGATTTCGTCGTAACCTGCGCAAAACTTAAGAAAATTTCGTTTCGTGAATACGAATTTGTTCTTAAGTTATGTCTTACGCACACTTTTGGCGCAAGATCGTTTCGTGAATCTGGCCTCTGCAATTCCGAAAGTCGCAGGAAAGGTAAGACAGACGCAGACGACGTTGCGAGCAGACGACGTTGCAAAGGAGCAGACGACGCTCAGATAGGGGGGCGCGATCAGCCAATCAGGGCTCGGAGTTCTGACGTCACCGCTACCCCCTGCGCGAGAAGCAGACGAACTTGCCCTCCGCATTGCACTGGATCTTTATACAACCGCTTTCGCAACCGCTTCGCGAACGCGGATCCGCTTCCAGTGTGAATGGGGGGTAAGCGGTTTGGAAACGCCGCGTCCGACAGAACGCACACTCATTATGCAGTGCACGGTGCCGCGCTTCCGCGCTGCTGCGAGAGAGAGGGCTGCGGTTGACATACCGAGATACCGGATTCGCCGAGGCAGCAGAGACGGCCGTCTCCACTGTCTCAACGAGGTTTACACGATTACAGGTGGCAGCAGCCATCTACCACGCAAAGGCTATCGGCGCCGCCAAGGTTATTGAATTTTCGCAGAATACGATGTATTCCATGGTAAATTACTTGCACGTGTCTTCGGAGTGCAGCAAAGGCTGCGAGCTGATGGTTCCAATCAGTCTTGTAGACGTTACTTTCAGAAAAAAAGTAATATATTACGATTACTATTGGTTAAAAGTCTTAAATTAGATTACTTGATTACTGGAGAAGTAACTGACCGTTACTTGAAAATGTAAAAGTTGCATTCCCGATTACTCCAAATATATAAAAAAAAAATGTTTGCGGTTTAATAACGGATTTTTATACTGTCCATTATTCGATTGAAATCACGCAACTCTGAAGTCCTTGTTTTTCAGTCCTCCAGTTTTAGTAACTATCCTCCTGTCAGAGACTTGGTCCATTGTTGCTTTATTATAGGAAACTTGTGCAAACAAAGGGCACCACTTGAAGGGGAAGGAAAAATAGTGACTGTTACAAGTAATTTTAGTAGTGCCAAAATAATAAATTTACTTTTCTGAATACTCCCTAACAAACATATAAATGATTACAGGTTTACTTCAATAAGTAACAGACTACGAGTAATTTGATTAATTGGAACAAGTACCGTGGAAGTCTGGTTTCGATCAATAAACGTCAGAAGCACAACGTCGCGGCTCTCAGCATATTTTTTGGGTGTCTTTTTCGCGGCTAATCCAACAAAAACCAGATTGTGTACCTTGACCATGCGCTTTCAGTTTATGTGTATGTGTTTGTCTGTCTTGACCGCGAGGAGCGACAGATTCTATGACTGGGGATCATAGACAACTAGGCCAGGGCTTCCTCGTTCTTTGTTGAGCGTCAGGCATGCAGTTGTTAGTCGACCAAAACAAAGAAACCTTAGAGGCATTTCCTCTGTTTCTCAAAGGCTATAAGTTCTCGTTCGTTAAAAACCGATGATGAATTTCAGAAGGCTACGGGAAGGGAAGACAGACATTGCTATACTCACCCCTAAGCAGTGACTATTGAAGCTCCGCCTTCAGCGCGAGCTCGCTGGCTTCCGCAGTGCTTTAGTTGCGCGTGCCTACGCGTTCACGCTTGTTTTAGCATGGAGAAAAAGCTCTCGCTGAAGACGGAGCTTCTAGTCTCAGCTTAAGGGGAATCGAAGTATAGGACCAGCAAATGACGATGGCGTTCGGCGTCCGACCACCTCATTCTGTCGACGCCATTGATCCCTTTTGCGCGAGGAGTCAACAACAACCTTGCTCTCTCTGATTGGAGGAATACGGTGGACGGAGACAAACGGTAACCAGCCCTCGTGTCTACCCACTATCCTTCCAATCAAAGCTCGACTCTCTGACATCACCGCGCCCCCTGTGGTGGCGCTGTCGTCGTCACGGCGCGTTAGCAGACGCTTCAAGCAAACCTGCTTGGTTCCTGCACACGCGCAATGTCCCCGCCTTGTGCGGGACATCGCGGACTTATGATTGTGTAAGCAGCAAGCTGGTGTATTGCTTTCATGGGCCGAACCTGCGCGGCACCGGTAATGATGCTGAATGCGCCGGTTCCGCTGACGACCATTGTGACGTCACCCTGGGCGTCGGTCATCACCAGCGGCGAGATTGAGGACGTGGGTCGCTTTCCGGGCCGGATGTAGTTGACGTGGCTGGGCAGCAGCCCGAACGCGTTCTTGACGCCGGGGATGGCAAAGTCGTTCATCTCGTTGTTCAGCAGGATGCCCGTCGAAGGGGACAGGGCCAGGGCGCCGAGCCTGTTGGCACATTTTTTGGGCGAATCGTCTTGATGTACTCGCGCACGAAACCATAAAGAACTGCGTATACGCTATTATCGAAAAGTAAAATGAAAGCACACCGTTAAATTACGTCAAGGAAATTTACCCAGGGCCTATGCCTTTTCTTTTTGGCTTGGGGGCACGCGGAGGGCGAGGTCACGGGGCACGTTCTTATCGTTGGATTGGCTGGCACAGCTTATGGTATCCGCCGCAGTCTATTTGAAAGTAAAGGCGCTGCGCGCGGTGGTGAGACATTGCGAATAGCGCGTTGCCACTTGCCATTACTTCGTCGCACATCAGTTGCCTCTCATTGGTGCCAGTTATTGTACGGCGCAACCGACATTAATCACACACGGATCATTGTCTGGACTACAGGGTAAACTCAACGATGGGCAGAACCAATCTTGGCGGCAAACGTACGTGCCGCGAGCCGTCATCCATGCGAGCTCAAGAAAAGAAAACAACAACAAGCGCTCTTGCTTAGGGTACGTGATGCTGGTGTCGCCATCTCGTTGAACTTGCACAATTGCATTTAATTGCATTATAATTGTAGAACTCATTGAAAACAAATCTGTCGCGTCAAATTTATTTACACAAATACGCACATACTCCTACATGTAGTCATCTCGCCATGGTCTTAACATTAAGATCGGGGAAACCCCCCTACGTTTTGCTGTTTTTCTTCTAGGTACTGTTAATTTAAAAATCATATGATAATGCGCTCAAAGCAATCAAATCGGTAATATTTCTGGATTTACTAAAAATCTACAACGTTTTCAAGGAAACATATAAAGGACACGTTTGACCTTGCATATGTCTTCACAACGAACCTCCAAAAGAACCAGCACTCTCGTGCATACCATAAACTCAGACTTGTGTCGCCCAATTAGCCATTCAGTGTTCGAATCCCAGCCGAGGTGCCCGCAATATGACGGAGGCATATTGCGGAAGAGGTGCCGTGTAACCGAGCTTTCGGTTGCACACCAAAAGATCCCCAGGTGGTCAAAAATAATGCTCAGTCCTCCGCTGAGGCGTGCCTGATGCCCTTCGTTCAGTTTGCATGTAAAACCCCCAAATTTCACTTTTGCCCATTCAGTAACGAGCGGGTGAATCCCCCTAAAGGCAGCGGATCGTTGAATACAGTTATGCATTGGAAAGACACGCACACACACGAAGCAGTTCAATTGGCATATGCTTCAATTCCATCGGTCCTTTAGTCTTTCGACTTCCCCGCTAAATTTACCTGAAAAGGTCCAAGATCAAAGGTCATGTGACGCAACGTATCTTCGAAACTCGCCCAGTCCAGGGCGTAAAAGTATTCTACGGGAAAGAATGTTGGTGCTGCACTCACGGCCCATTGATGCTGCCCATTAGTGCCAGGGCATCTCCGTCGGGCATCAGGATGACGATCTGGCCCGAACCGTGGCTCTCGATCTTCTGGTAGCGGACACCGTAGTAGCGCATGTCCCTGAACGGCGTGCCGCGGATTTTGGATCTGACATCCGCCAGAAACGATTCAGATGCGAGCTGCTCCAGAACCTGAGAAGAAAGCGGTATCCCGTTGGCATTATGGTGCCCGGAACACGTTTCCGACTGGTGTGTTCCATTTAAGACACAAGACCTTCGACCTTCTTTCGTGCACGTAACCACTGGAAAGATGAGGCTGAACCCTTTGAATCAGGCGGCAACTTGCGCCACCTAGCCGATGTGGTTTTTTTCCCTAACATTATTTAACATAGAGTTATAAATCTAAAGATATGTCTAGTAGGTCCTCTCAGCGCCACCTAGGGCGCGTCAGCATCGCCGCCACCACGCCTTCCAGCGTCTCACTATGAGCACGACGCTAAAAACACGGCAACGCCAAGACGGGCGCGTTTGCTTCTATGCGGCGTCTCTCATTGAGCTTCAGGTGTTTCCCGCTTGGGGCGCGTCGGAGATCGAATAATGATGACGCCATAGGCAGGCATTGTCTTCCAAGTGGCATTGGTTTACCGCGTCCCCAGATGTGGTCCCTTGATTTCCGACTGAATACGCCACAAATGTGCCTGTCCCGATCCTGACGGTGGCAGAGCAGCGGTGGGGGATGCTGCAGATGCTCGTTTTGCCGTAGCCAGCTCCCTGCAGCCAGTTTGTCGATGAAAACCAGGGCAGACACATTTCGGGACGCCGCGACGACGGCGACCCTTGCATCCGCTCGCCTTATTTCACCAGGATCGCGACATCCGACAGCGTGACAGGCCGGCTCCTGTGACGCGACTTGTGGCCACATTGGGACCACTTTCAATTCATAGGCGGGATGGGGCGGTAAGCACACCAGCAGGGCGGTAAGCACACCAGCAGTTGGCACAAAGGTCGTCACGTCAATCGTTGAAGAAGGAAGAAGCAGACGTGGCGCATTATTTTAAAGACAGGTGGCAAAAAGAAAAAAAATATTGTGAAGTTCTTGTTTACCTTGCCTCGTCTCGCAGTAAGTTTTAGGTCTTACTACCCTCTTAGAACAGCAATGTCTGTAGGGACATTCCTCGGTGAGCAAGTAAAATGTCACTACGAGCACAGTAGGATTATAGTAAGTGTAAATACATCGAGCATGAGGAAGCGTCAGGCTCAATGCCCGATACAGGCTGTTTCTTCTTTTATATCTATACGTGTTACCAGTTTGCTCATTCTCCGAGTTCCCTCCGTAGATTGCACAGATTGACTCTCTCTAATGCTTTGCGCAAAGGTAGGCGCTCTAGGTTTTTTATATTATGAACCAACGCGCGGCTCTGATGTGACATCGCTGTGAGGGCGCTGCTGTCGGCGGCACTCATGTGCAGACGCTTCATATCACACAATGTTGTTTCCGCGCACGCGCGCCGCCCACATCCTGTGCGGGCAAACGGAGGCTGTTTGTTGGCGTATATAGACCATTCCATTTAGCGCTCTCTGGGCGGCACCATTTTGTTCGACCGCAGCGCCCTCTCCACACATCCGGGAAGTTCCGCAGGGTTCGCGGGGTAAAACGAGAGAGAGGGCACGCGCCGACTCCGCTAGCAGACGACAAACCGGGACGTTGCCGTTCTCCATCTTTGGGCTGTATCGGCGGGCAGTACGGAACATCGAACTCTCGCTCGTGGCTGCCGTTGTGAAGTGGTTTGCGTTCTTAGAATAGTTGTGGCTGCTCCAAAATCAGCCTATATCTCTCTGTTGTTCTATTTCGCTAAATGATCAACTAGCATATCTTTTTTCCGTTACTTAAATAGCTGTTGAGTCAGCCGGCAGTACTACCCTCAACTACTGCGTGTATTGCGGCACGAGAGCACGTTTTATTTATTATTCAGACTTCCACTCATGTTCGCTAAAGGGCCTACACTAGTACGTACCTAGTATGGTAAAAAAGGTACAGCCACCGGATTCACTTTTCGCCGGAGAGACCGGCCACTCTGACACAGTTTTCCCTATTTTTTTTTATTTGCACGCAGATAACAGCGCAATTGGACTCTGTTAGTCTTTTTTATCTAGCATAGTATTACACGACAACTGGCATACCCAAATCTGCGCATCTGCGCTTGAAAGTTCCAAAATGACGCGATTTTAAACAGAGTTTGCACGCCAGCCGGACGCTAGCTACAGCCCAATCGGCGGAGCGGACGAGATGCGGGGCGAGAGGGGGAGTGCATTTTTTTCTCTTTTACCCTCTCTGCTATGACGTCATGCCAGAACGGTAGCGCTGCGGTCGGCGCATGCGAAGCTCTCGCGCGAATCTCGCAATTCTGCGCAAGCGCAGTGCCCACGCAGGGTTCGTGGGCACAAATGGGGACTTGATTGTAAGCAGCGTCTCAATATGTATAATGTACGCAGGACATTACTTTTTAATTTATAGAATCGGATGGCGATCCCTGCCATAGACACTTTTCAAGACCGCGTCTAGCAACATAGGCGTTCATTTTTTTTTGTTGTTTTCTTTAGAAACAAGGCATGTGATTAGGTTTTAGTCATCGCCGGAATGTTGACGCATCGCTCGTGTACAGTACAGGATCAGTGTGCGCTCCCAGACAATGGCGTACTCGAATAATTGGAGAAGACACTTTTAGTCGGCGCGCACTTTTGAAAAAAAGTCTATCGTACCCGTTTAGTGCTCGGTGAACCTACGTTTCGCATGTCGATGTGGCCCGGGTCACCGATTTCCATCCGCTTCGCGTACGTGAACTTGATGGCCTCCACGAAGCGATGGATGGTCTCCTCGCTATCGTCCAGCGAGAAGCCCGAGCCACCGGGCCTCTGCTGGCGGTAGCTGTCCATGAGCGCAATCATGAAGGCCAGCAGGGGTCCTCCAGACGGTGCCGGGGGCACGAAGACGCTCACGTTGTCTCGCAGCGTGCGGCCAAGGGCCTCGGTCACGTCCACGTAGTAGTCTTGTACGTCTTCCATGGTAATGATGCCACCTTGAAGACAATGCAAATTGAGAACTCGGCGATGCCGCCTCTGCTGTTCCTTGAGACTTTGGGCTCGATTACTTCGGAGACGTGGACAACAGGAAAGAGCGAAAACAATAGGGGTGACCTTTGTGATGATTCGTCAAATACCTCTGCCGATGATTCGGGTAAAACGCCATGATTCGTCTGATAATTCTATGGATGATTCGTTCAATACACGACGATTCATCTAGTAAGTCTCCGGCATGTTCGTTTAATGCGGAATGGTTCTTCTAATACGAGATGATTTGTTTAATACGCCCCCGAATGATTCGCCCATTACGTGTCCGAATAATTTGTCCAAAACGTGATGACTCTTCTTTTACGTCTCCGATTGATTCCTCCAACACGCCCCTGAATAATTCGTTCAATATGCGATGATTCGCCGGATACGTCTATGAATCATCCTTTCAAGACGCGATGACTCGTCTAATACGCGATGATTCGTGTATTACACTTTCCAGACAGTAAACATATTGTAGACGATGGCCGGGTTTCTCGCCGGAATTTGGGCAAGAGCAGCCTGGGGTACCTCAATACCTGTATTTATGGGACTATGCTTTGAATAACTTCAATGCCAGATCACCAATAGACGATTTTCAATTTTCCCAAGCGCCCAGGCCCGCACGTGAGGACTTGTGGGAGAAACTGTCCCTCGCCTGGCCGCTTGTCTCCTTCTAATCCTATGTTTTTGATTCTATTACCTATTTTTATCTATTCCAGTGTATGTTTTATTGCTTCTAAGTGTTTCTCTTCTGCGCGCGATATGTCTTGTGTATATATGCTATTTGTGTCTTTATTTTGAATTTTTCGACAGGAGTGCCGACGAACAACACGCCGCCTCGCGCGTCGTTTCCCGGGTGAGTACTACCCTTGCTACCCATTCCCATCGCACTGTTAGCAGTTCATTTTTTTATTCATTTGACCCGCGTGTAGTCGAGAGGAGTCGTTTATGAACACCCGCTCACATTTCATAGGGTTATAGGCAGAGCTCTGAATCGTCAATCGCGACGCGAGAGACGAGTGCGCTGGGATTTGGCCGCCCGCGCTCGCTCTGATGACTCGCACTGCAGCGTATGCCTTCAAGGGCCGCTTACTTGACCAAGATGCAGCGCGCCTCTTTTTCGCCGCGAACCATTGGTCCGAATGTTTGCGAAGCTGAGGCATATGCAACGCTGCTGCGCCTGACAACTGTGCGCTGCGGCGCGATCCCTTCGCAAACGCCGACGGCTCAACGTCGCGGCTTGAATGCGCCTATAGCATGCCTTCGTAATATATCTCCTAAGCTGTTGTCAGTTGCCAACGCCCTTTTCAAGTACAGAGATGTGTTGCCCCGAATCATTTGTCCGACCGTTCGGCATACTTGGCTTGTGTCGGCTGCTTACTGTTAAATTTGTCACCGAAACGTTCGGGATGCCTTCTCAGGACGGGATATAGGAATTACATCCTGGACACCTGGGTTATGCAGCGCGAGCTTTCGCTTCACGTGCTCCAAGCCGGGGCCCTAACCTCGAAAAACGTCGGCGAGAAATATGGCGGCCGCGATCGGCCAACGCCCCTTGACCTTGCCGCCGGCCAATCATAGCCGCCGGATTTCTCGCCGACTTTTTCGCCAAGAGTCCAGAAAGGGCCCTTGGGGACCGCTAGTTCGCTCGGCCACCGATAGCCTAAAGAAAGTTGGGGATGTCTCGTTGATCGTAAGCGTAGTTATTGAAGTTATTATTAGCTTACTCGGTGTATCTACGCGCTTACCGTTGACTTCAATGTCCTTGACGAGCATCCTCCCGACGGAGCCGTTGTAGAACGCCCTGTCGCCATTCTTGGCGATGAGGCTCAGCGAATCGGCAAGCGCGGGATTTCGCAGGGTCTCGTTGATGCGGAGCACTGACCCGTTCACCAGCTTACTGCAGAATATTTCGCTGCGCAACAAGCGTGACAATAACCCCGTATAAAAACCTTAGTGCCACATGGTAACTCAAGAAATAAAAAAAACAGTTTCAAATTTGACAAATAGCCCCCTTTCGAAACATCATCAGGCAACCCTGGCAGTCGCCATTCCTTTTGCACGAAGCGGGTGATTCAACTTCATTCGATTCGTTTATTTTCCAATGTGGTGTTCGGAGGAGGAGAGGGGGGGGGGGGGGGGGGGGGGGGGGGCAGATAAAAACAAAGTTGCCAAAAACAGCGTAAGGGTGTCTAAAAAAAAAAACTGCGCAACTTGATATTTAAAAAAAAGAATACGCAAACACGTGAAGAGTACTGTCGCCAACGTTTATAACGAAGTCGGTTATAGCGAAATAGCGGCTATGACGAAGCGATTACGATTTCTCGTTTCAGTTTACACTTTTTGGGTGTATTTCTGTGTTTTTAGGGATTGAAAATGAGCGCTTCTCCCGGATATAGCAAAAAGAAATTGTGTAACAATTAAAAAAAAATTTAAGTTCGGAAAGTTTACCAATTCACAGACCGCCGCACTTTGCTGCCGGAGCCGAGCAGCCTGTAAAACGGGCCGCAGAAGTGCTGCAAAGGCTAGCGGCGGCAGCCTCGCATCATCGCCAGCTCCACCGCACCTTATCTGGGAAGCGGCCTTTCCGCATCGCACGCGGAGAGGCCGTCGTGGCGTGCCGATAGCGACGTTCAGAACGCTAGCGAATCGCCATTCATTGGAGAGTATAGGAGGCATATGAAGAGGCACCATTGGTCGAGAGCGGGCTGGACATGTTCCACGGCGTCCTCAGGGATTCGAATCTCGCAAACCAGAAGCCGTGAGTAATACCCTGGCGGTGATCGCGAGAAACAAGAGACGTCGTCCTGTCTATTTTCTGTCCCTCTACGTTTTGATGTTTCTTCTCTACCCCAGTCTCAGGTTAATTCGACATGGTTAAGATTAATAAATGCGTCAGAGAAACTCTCGGTGACTGAAAATATGGCTGCTCGTAATTTTTCGATCAAAACCATACAAAACCAAAATCTAGGAGAACGATCGACGTGATTCGTACGCCAGACGCCGAGGGCCGGGAAAATGCCATCCCTGCAGTTTGTCTCCGACCGAGGAAAAAAGAGTTCGAGCGGGACATTTTATTCTTACATATTTTTGCAAGATCATATTCGAAACTTCACGTGCGCTATATTTTCAACCGTGAGGAGTCACTCTATTACATTGTTACGCACTTATTAAAAGTGTTTCTCGCTACCACGGGTAGGAGGTTGTTTTCGGCTTCTGGTTGGCCAAGAGGGCACGTCAAGCCTTCTATCTGCGTCTCTTGCACGCCCTGGCTCTGCCCATTCCTCCAATTGACCAAACTCTCTCTTACCGCTCATTTACACTGGAAGCGGATCCGCGTTCGCAAAGCGGTTGCAAACGCGGTTGTATAAAGATCCAGTACAATTGCACGCGCACTCGATGACATCAAGTGCGCGTGCAATTGTACTCGATCTTTACACAACCACGTTCGCAACCGCTTTGCGAACGCGGATCCGCTTCAAGTGTGAATGAGCGGTATATGCGGCTCTGGCGACAACGCACAGATAGTGATCATTGAGAGAGCCGAGATTTAAGAGAGGGAGCGTACCCAACCATGGAGAGCGTTTGCAATTTAATGGCGGACGCCTCTGGGCTGATGGGCTCAACTGCGCTAGCATTGTGGTGTCTCGTGGCCAGGATGGCGGGGAAGTGGGGTGGAGAAGCGGACACGTTTGCAGTATGTGAACACTTGACTCCTTACAGGCTGGTGTGGGCTTGCAAACCATCTGACCTCCCCCCCCCCCCCCCCCCCCCCCTTCCCGGATCGAGCAGTTGTACCCTCTCTCAAATTTAGTCTCTCTCGAAACCCTAATTTCAGCCCTTAAGCACGAACTCGGTGCAATGCGCGCTTCTTTGTTTCCTTCATGTTCTGTGTCGACGTCGCTAGCAGTGTGGGTTGTCTGGTGGCTCAGATGCCATCACCCTTAGCAAAGACACATCAGGGCACCCTCGGGGTGACCTGGAGATATACGGTATATGATTCAAGAAAATGCGATTTAATGTTTTTTAGACAAAAAGAAACGACTTTATATTTCTTGCGAGTACAATTAATTATAGTAATGTTTTTGTTTATCGTAATTTTTTAGTAGAAACGGCACTTCACATACGTTAGCGCCTGTAAAAATATTCAGTTTGCCGGCGTCACACTAGCCAGCTCTCACTGCTGCGAGTACTAAATTCGCTTATTTGTATCGATAGAGTTATGCTTTGTTTTAGCTTAAAAATTCTCATCTGCAAAAAAAAAAAAAAAAATAAAATAATAAAGCGAACGAGATTATTAAGTAGTTTTGTACTTGTATTTTACAACGCGTGAACCACTCTTCGGTTAAATATACCCATGGTGCATTAGCAATCTGTCGAAGCGCCCTTTTTTGTAAGAGAAGAATGGTATGGCATAATTTTTTATTGTGGTCTTGGCCCCGTCTAGTTAACAGTAATTTAGGTTTGAAGGGAACAAGTCAAGATAGATTTGCAGTTTCGCATTACCTAAAAGAAAGTGCCGACCTTGTGACAACGCGCCTGCGACGGAGGATAATGATTTTGATAAAGTTTTAATATGATGTATAATTATGTCGTGCGCATATTTATACAGCCGCAAGTTAGCCTGCCCCAATAGACGTTTAGTGTTTCGGCTGTAGGTGAACAATTTATCCAGAGCAGTACAACCGCTAGCCTGGGGTCTTTAACGTGCACCACGCAGTAGTGATACGCGACCGCACGCCGGTACGATGCTCATCCAGATCGAAACGGGCTGGGGCGGGGATTGAACCCAGGATCCCTATGATCTATCTATTTCATGTTTGCCGAGAAAGTAACCTCAAAGTTTTAATGTTTAGGAACTATTTAATAGGTCCGTCCCCGTGTAAAGCATTTTGTGAAATATGTGCCTATTTGTGTGCGGAATCAAATAAAACAGTTTTATATTTCTTGGCATTTATTTTTTAACCGTTGCCGGTGGACCAGTCGTATAATTTGGAAAGCTCCCCTTCGCCTTTTATGATCATTTTATTTGCTTTGCACCCAGAAAAACAAAAAGCTGATATAATCAGCATAAAGTTTAAAAAAAGCGTAACTATTTTTATACATCGCATCCTTATTGCACATATTAAAAAACAAAAGTGGTCCGAAAACATTTCTTCCGGGCACACCATAGTAATTGAATTTCAAATACAAAAACACTTTCCTATCGAAACACATTGTACCCGATCACTGAGACAAAAAAGGGGGCCAATGTGCAACACTGCGGACGCCTTATGCGTAAAACTGATCGAATAAAATATTATGGTTTGTATTCCGATGGTAAACACGTCGTCGCTTATATTCTTAATAATCAGTTCTTTCTCGGTTAATAACGCCGTTACACTAAACTTCTCTTAACGAAAGCAACGTTGAAAGCCTGCATGGTGTTTTGTAAAAGGTAATTGCTAATCAGTAAAAATATCATCCTGTCAGGTCCTTTAGATTCGAGCTCCCTCCTCCCTACCGTTTTCACCTTCATAAAAGCTATAAGTGTGCGAGTTTTCTTTTTTTTTATCTTGTTCTTACCAGAGCACTCTGTTGGAGACAATGTGCGGTTCGAGCAACATCAGCTGACGCTCGAGATCCTCGAAGACGGGGATTCCGTCGCGAGCCAGGCGAATGGCGTCATCAAAGAGGTCCTTCCACGGCACCCTGGAGCCGAGCACTTGGGTCAAGCTGGCGTATCCCTTCAAAGTGCCGGGGATGGCGGAAGCACGGAAACCTGTGAAGCGGCCGATGTATAGAACCTCTTGAAAACGTCCACATGGCAACTACCGGGTGAAACAAGGAGACGGTAGGCTCTTTAAATCGACCGGAAAATTCGGTTTCTTAACCTATCGCGCTACGACTTTGTACAGCGTTGCGCACACATGGTGCATTTTTTTCGTAAAATTTGCAAAGAGCGGACTTACCTGAGGAAAAAGTAAAGAAAGAAAAAGGCTTAGCTCCTATGGAAACGCTGCGACGCCACCGGTCTGCAATCAACACGGCGCCGTTTTGCACGGTAGACAAGAGATGGCGCAACGAACGCCGCCAACGAACGAGCATACGGCGCCGAGAGCCGGCGTAATTAGCAGACAATGAACTGCAGTTCCTTGTTGTTACCGCGCCTGTCTTTTTTGTTTCTGCGACTGTCGCCGCCTGCGGAACGCGCGCCGCTTTTGAGTCGAAAAGATCGTCTGCTAAAGAGCCTTTGAGGAATACCTCGGCCGGCTCTCGGCGCCCGTATGCTTGTTCGTTGGCGGCGTTCGTTGCGCCATCTCTTGTCTACCGTGCAAAACGGCGCCGTGTTGTTTGCAGACTGGTGGCGTCGCTGCGTTTCCATAGGAGCTAAGCCTTTTTCTTTCTTTACTTTTTCCTCAGGTAAGTCCGCTCTGTGCAAATTTTACGAAAAAAATGCACCATGTGTGGGCAAAGCTGCACGAAGTCGTAGCGCGATAGGTTAAGAAACCGAATTTTCCGGTCGATTTAAAGAGCCTACCGTCTCCTTGTTTCACCCGGTATTGGTGGTCGCCATTCATTGAGCAGGAAGCGTGTGATTGGGTCCAAATTCTCACCGACCTCTGACGCAAAATTCTTTTGTTACTATTTCGATACTGTTATCTACACGACCTTTGCCAGCTCATCGTCTTGATAACCTGCAAATGGCGGTAAAACAGTAAATAACAAAAAAAAAAAGAAGATATATCGGGGCTCTCAACCAACAAGCAAAAAGAGATCCCATATGCACTGTCATGATTGACACGCAAAAGCCTGAGGCAAAGCAGTGGCGTTCTTTAATGTATACCTTTTTCAGAAATACGGGGTGCCTACAGCGTCTTTACGCATTGTGACGTTCAGAGGAACGGCACGGGAAATTATTCAAGAAGCGAAGATAAAGTTGACGTTGGTCTAACAGTACGTGATTTCAGAACGCAAAAAAACAGAAAGAAAGAAAAAAAAAAAAAAAACAGAATTTGCGATAGCATTCTTTTTTGTTCGCTTAATTTTTTTCTGTGTGTTTTGTGCTCCTGATGATAAAAATTAATGAATCGTGGCGCTTTCAGTGTATATGAAGCGTTCGAGCCTACTCGAGCGTACGTCCGAACGATCCCACAATTCCCCTCGTTGCAAGATCTCCTATGATTTTGTGGAAAGGTCTGTTAACCGCGTTTTGGTATAGGCCGTTTCCACCCTTCTAGCCTTCACTGCGTTTCCGCAGTGAAGGCTAGAAACACCAGCTCTATCCGCTCATTTACACTGGAAGCGGATCCGCGTTCGTAAAGCGGTCGCGAACACGGTTGTATAAAGATCCAGTACAATTGCACTTGCACTTGATGTCATCGAGTGCGCGTGCAATCGTACTGGATCTTTATACAACCGCGTTCGCAACCTCTTTGCGAACGCGGATCCGCTTCCAGTGTAAATGAGCGGTTAGCGCTGACAGCTGCCCTCAATGCACGAGAGCTTGTGCCGACAAGATGTGCCCTAGAGCAAGGAGCTCGCGCTTGTAGACATTCCTGCGGTACAGCATAAGTTGGAATCGAGCCTAACGGCTTTTTTCTGTCGACCTCCCTCGTGCCACAAAAATTTCGGTCCCACTGTATTTGCTAAAACCCCTCCATGTTTCAAAATTATCGCAAGGTACGTTGATACACTAGGCACGTGTAATCTGCCGCCCTTGGAATGATCAAGGCGGCACAGCGCAGTACTGAGCTAGATTTCAGACGCGATGTTCTTCCCAGAACTGGCGCGCGGCATGTATCTCGAAAATCTCCACAACAATGAATGGCGCCACTTTTCCCAGGATAGAGGGGCTTTAGTATTTGCAGGACTGTAGCGCCACATATCGTTATTTCTTGATCTCGGCCATCGCACGTTTGTGCTATGACACGAGTCCTAATCGAGTGGCCGTGGCTATGATATCCTATTAGCGACGAGAGGTTTCGGTGGCACCCTCCTATGGTTCCCTCTCGTGACGTCATTACCTTGCGAACAACATGTTCGATAATGTTTGTAATGAGCACGGTAGAAGCTTGAAATCATTGCACTCTGAAACCAACACAGCAAACACCGTCAAATTGAAGTTCTTAGATTACACTTATTTCCGTCAATGAGAAAGCCTTTGCTGACGTCATAGTCAGCATCCGGCCAATCGTGGACGACCGACCACAGCGACGCTTTCGATCGCGGAAGTCGCCAATAGTGTCGGATAAAGTCACTGGAGCCTGGAAAATCCTGGAAAAGTAGCGCCAAGCTCTCCGTATGGTCAGCATCTTGGTCCGTGGAATGAGCAATTTCTCCTTGACCCCTCCGTTCTTGGTGAGCCGATCTGAACCCTTTGGCGACGGGTAGCCTTAAGGCCGGTTCAGACAGTTGCGTTTGAGTGCGTTTGACTGCGTTGCGTCGAGAACCGAAAGCGAGTCACAGGCACATTTGTGCTTCGTTTGAAGCGTGGAATCCAATTCAAGGAATCATCTTGGCACGCGATATAAACAGCAGGGATGTCATGGTTTCTCGCTGCCGCAATGCAGTCAAACACAGCTGTCTGAACCAGGCTTTATGGAGACGTTTCTTGTATACCGAAATATCGCTATACACAAACCGGCGAAACAAGCGTACATCCTCGCACCACCACCACACGCTGTGTCGGTGCTTGAAGGCACTGAAAAATAATTTTACTGTCTTGAAATACGCAAGAGGAGTATAATTGTAAAAGATCTGTAGAGATGGGCATGACTGATAAGTTGATTGCATACACAGTGCCAAAGACGCTTATAGTCGCGAGGAACGCTTCCAGTACGATGACGCTCCCTTGTGGAGGAGGAGGGGGAGGGGAGGGGCAGAGAGGAGGAGGAGGGAGGAAGAGGAGAAGGGAAGAGGAAAGGAGGAGGGGAGGAAAAAAGGAGGAGGACGAGGAGGAGCAAGAGGAGGGAGGAGGAGTAGCAGGGAGGATGAGGAGGAGGGAGGAGGGGTATACCCTCCCCTAAGTACCCTTCCCTCCTCCTCCTCAAGAGCTGCGCTCTAATTCGGCGTTACAGGGTGTTGTAAACGGCTTTCATTTTTTAGTTTCTAGGCTTCCAGGTTTCTAGGCTTTTCTAGTTTCTGGGGCAGGCTACCGCCCGTTATAAAGGGTGCAGCCGTTAGCATCCCCCCATCCATCCAAAGTCCAGGCTGTAGACTAGGTCCGCCTTACCTCGGCGCGTGGTTCGAGGAATTAAGCCGGGATCCCACTTCCAAGGGTACATAACAGGCGACAAATCGGCAGTTTTCTATGTTTGGGCAGTACCCGTGGGCTGCACATTGGCTGTACCAAAAAACTAACGCTCGCTCGCAAGTGGTTCGCGTTTCTGGAATATCTATGGACACTCCAGGACAGGCAGGTAGCCAGGCTTTTGTTTCGGGGGGAGGGGGGGGGGGGGGGGGGGGCGCCGATGACAAAATGCTGTATGAAGGGGAGGGGGAGAGGAAGTCCCAGCAAAATGAAAGATCTCAGGGAGGGGGGGCCGGGCCAAATGCCCCCCCCCCCCCCTGGCTACGTGCCTGCTCCAGGATAAGTCTGTAGTGCCCTTTAATTTCTTTCAGTAAATGATCAGCTAGCGCATATTCGTTCGGTTGGGTCAATGGCAATAATGTTCATTGGCAGTACTACTCACAGCTACTGCGCCCATTGCGTCAGCAGAAAACAGAATCCTGATTGTACAGTAGTGAGTTTGAAAACAACCTTGCTTTACTTTCGAGAAACGCCATGCAGACGTGAAAATTGTCTTACACCAGGCTTAGAAAGATTAAAACCCGGAGCGGTTATCCCTATGTGTTCCCAGGCAAATGTAACAAAATTTTGTTAGCCACAAAAGCACCGTCACGTCGACGTTAGATACTTTTCTTTTTTTTATAAACAACAATAAATAATCGTTGCACAAGCCACGCTTCCGGCGCACCCCCGTCGATGGTTTTTCGGCGGTGCATTAAGGTCGATTGCGCTCCCATGGGTCGCTTCTCAAGTACCTTCTACGCGTCAACATAACAAAAAGGTATTTTGGTTAGAATAGACCACTAGAAACATCTGCTATAATTTAAGCCCTCTAAAGTTTTCATATCCCATGGCACCAGGCAATGAGTTCTGTGCGGATTTGTTGGTCATTGAAAAAACACATCGCGCGGTTCTTGTTGCATACTTGGTGAGCACGATTTGTTTTTAATTTAGAATTTTTATACATAGTTCATATAAGCCTGGACGACTGTAAACTCTACCTTGCAAAAAGCTACTCCAACCTCATTCACTTTTTGCGGAAGACAAGAAACCGACCATACAGTATACAAGGTTGTATTCCCTTTCTTTTTCTACTTGCGCGGCAGCTGACTACAGGATTGTGCCGAATTGTGCCCGGTTAGCCTCGTTATCTGAAGTAACACTGTACGATAACTTGCATATCTAAATTCGCAATTTCGCGGTTGATATTGCCGAAACAACGCGATTCTGAACCGTGCTCGCGCGCCAGCAGGGTGTTGAGCTGACGACGCGCCGGGGTAAGAAGAGGGAGGGAATTTTTACCTCCGCTCTTTTTACTGGAATGGTCTCTGCGTGGCGGGAACAGTAACAAGGTAAGACCTCCATTCTGTTCTAATTCTGTCCTTGATAAGGCCTAGAGGCCCCTGGTTGATGTCCTCAACGGGTATAACTTAAAAGCGCGGTGACTGATACCTGATACACGGGCATGCTTAACTGCATGCCTTAACCACAGTAACCACACTATACTTTTGAACCACTTTTTATTGGCTATACAGTCGATGGGCGCACGTGCGCTTGCATGCCCATCTTCAGCGCCCATCAAAGCTGTGCACGCGCACTCTTCACTACTTCTGAAAGGGCTATCCGAGACGCGGTTCTTCAAAATTTATGGTGGAAAGGGACCAAGCAAGTATATCCCAATTTGCTGGAATGGCGTAGGAGGGGTAACGATTCGACGCAGTAGTCCTACCGGCTTCGTCGGCGGTTTCTTGAGTCGCTGACACTCGTGGTACCATCAGGTGGTGACGTGGTCTTCGGAAGCCTACGCCAGTAGTACCTCTCGTGTATCATGACGACTGTTCGGTGGTAGCCAAGGCCTTTGGGTTATCGTTGCAGGCTTGAAAGATCTCTTCTAGAAGGCCGATGTGAACCACCAAAAGCCATATACTGTGTTGTTGTCACCGACCGTCGGATGGCGAAGGACGGCAGAGCTCGCAAAAAGGTAGTATTTCGACCGTCCAGGGCCCGTTTTCTCGAACGCGAGCCGTGGGTAAAAGTTATCTATTGTCCCTAGAAGGGGGAATTCTAGACCACGTGACTGGGAGAGCAGGGGCGCCGAGGGAGGAGCAGTACCTACAAGCAAAATGGCCGCGACATCGCTTAATGAGGGCTAATAGTTCTGCTGAACATTCATTTCGATCCGGCTGTTATATTAATGACGCACCATCAACCTATTAGCACGTCAAGCAAAGCGGTAGTTCAGAGGGACTACTAAACTGACCGACGGCAGCATTCCGCGAACGCATCACTCTTCAGCAGTCCGGGATCCAAGACATATGACGGTACATAAGCCTTGCAAGTATTTTTATGGTGAGTAAAACAATGTTTTGCGAGCGAGTGTTGGTATATATTTATACTAACACGTTTAAATTGTTACACTATGCACGCCAACTCGTAAGCAGCGATTACTTTGCGGAGAAAGGAGGTTATCCTCGATAAAGTCTTCGTTCCGGGTGAACAGCTGGGACATTGTACTGTTTTTTTGTTCGCAGTGCGCCGACAGCACGGTGGCCGACAGTATGCCGACAGGATCGAGGTTTCTACATATCCCCGGTGGCCAGCAATGGACCTTTAAGCGAATATGTGCTGCCACCTATGGGACGAACCTGAGGCGCACTGGGTTGGAGAGTATTTGTAGAGAAAACAACGTCCACATTAGGCTTTTTGTGTGCTACCGGTTCGTTTTCTTTTTGCTGCTCTTAGTTTTCTTTCGTTGCTCGCATTTATACATCGGCCAAACTGGCCGATGTATAAATGATAGAGCAAGGGAGCACGCAACCTCGGTGAGAAGCACATCAGCAGGACATTGGTCAGCTCATTGCCGGACCTGTGGCTGCGATGCCGAGCTCACCAGCATAACCGTCCTTCATAGTAACAAGAACTCCTTCGCGCGTGAAGTGCTGGAGGCCTTGGCCATCGAAGAAAAAGGAGAAGATTGCGGTCTGCCACACCCCGTTGAATACTAGGCTAAAAGGTTTTTATGTGTTCATTCTGCCGTTGGACGAAAAAAAAGAAAGAAAACAAGGGCCTAGGCCGGGAAGAAGACAAAGTAAAATTCAGTTGATAGTCAGCGTTGTCTTTGTCCAGTTCTTTCCTTCGTGTCCTTGTTTCTTCGTGTTCAGCTGACCTGATTGCCAACGAAAGGTTCTCACCTTGGGTTGATGATCTGGAGGACCAGCGTTGAAACCGACCGAGGGTTGACGGCCGTGGACGCGAGTAGCTAAACAGTGTAGGAACATGGTCCGGGTGTGCCTTGTCTAACGCCGGCTGTGATCATCGCCGCACTTCGCAAAGCTCTATCGCTTGCAAAAATTACAAGTCAACTTACCTGTAATAAAATACATAGTCTGGACAGCTGACTCGGCTTCCAGTTCTTCGAGGGGTCGGACTTGTCAACTCTCCTGACAGCACGAATCCAGGCTGCCCGCTTAACGGGATGAAGCTTAGCACACGGGAAGCGAAAAAAGCTAGTTCCACAACCCGGGTGATAATAGTTCCGACAGCCGAAGGCTACACGGTTCACCGGCATGATTGCGGTGCACGTCGTAATCTAGAACGGGCGTCGTCAGTACGATGACTCGTGTTCACCTTGTTCGCAACATCAAAACTTGAGCCTCGATGGTCTCCAAGGCGAACAAAGGCGAGAAAAGCAAGATGGCGGATTGTTTAGAACTAGATACTCTCAAACCCAGGCGCATCAAATACTCCGCGCATGCGCACCGCGTATTTCTACAAAAGGTCCATTCAACGGTGACGAGAAGCTTAGTTTCTCGTCACCGGTGCATCGGTTGGGCAAACAGAAGAGTGGGCAAACAGTTGAGATCAGCAGGAATCACAGAAACGTGCGTCGCAAGGAACAAAAACGAGAGTACAGCACCGGCGTTGCCAGTCTGGAAGGCACACGGGAAAGTTATGCGTTGTTTATGGCGATACATATTGAAGGAAATATTTCTTACATTTTCTAATATTCGTCGACAAACTAGCATAGTAGCTAAAACTTCTTCGTACCATCTGAAGCCAATAAATTGTTCTTCAAGTAGAACATTACTATATTTTGACTTAAAATACCATACTAGATCGATAACAACCAGCGGAAAAAGAGGATAAACAAAATCACTGGCTTGTTTCACCGATAGATGGCGCATCTTACTGCCCAATCAAAAATAATAGTTGTTGTTCTATATCCAGCCGTTTATTACAGTACCTAGGTACTTTTTCCTTTCTAGGCACCGTGGTTTACCAAAATGGGTTTACCATCGCTTCGAGAAAACCGGCCCAGGTGCTCGATGAGTGCGGAAAGCTCAGGGTCATCCCGTTGAAGTTCTACTACGTTGTCGGCGTTCACTGTGCCGAGAAAAACACCGTCCTCGTCCTCGTCGTTAGAGCGCTCGGACGCCAACTCGACGGGGGCCCTCGAAAGAACCGGCGTCACTGTGCTTCCGGCCAGACTTGTTGACCATAGTAATATCGAAGTATCGAAGTCGTATAGTGTGGTAACTGTGGTCAAGTGTAGCTGCAGTAATGGGTGTTTTAAGGGTGCCCGCGTAACTATGGTATAACTAGGGTAATAACTCTGCTGTCTTAACTGAGATCGCGAATGCCGCGACTCACCTCCGAGAACTCACCAAAAACAGACAGTGTGGAGTTCCTGGAGTACATGTCCCCGGTGGCGGCCGCGGGCGCCATCTCTCGGGCGTTAAAGGCGATCGCGGTCCGGCTGCTGTGGTTGTAGTATGTGGCGAAGAAGCCTCCTCCGAGGCCGCATCGGTGAGGGAGAGCCACGCACACGCACAGCATGGTGGCCACAGCCACGTCCGCAATCGTCCCGTCGCGCGCCATGATCTTTCTAGAAAACACACGCCGGTCATGAATTCATCGCGTTTTTTTCTTAACTTTTTTCGTGGAAAGCGCTATTACAGGTTTATTCATTATTAAATCTTATAGAGGGTATCTGCTGTCTCCCGTACCTTTAAGGGGTACTCACACGAGGGGAAAATCCCGGGGATTTCTCCCCGGCGCGCGCATCACGATACGAAAACGCCGGGTTTTGCACATTGCAAAAGCCTGACGTCTTCGTCGCGGGATGTGCGTGTCGTGGAGAAATCCCCGGGATTTCTCCCTCGTGTGATTGCCCCTTTAATTGCAAAGCTACAGGAGTGTGTCTCCGTCTAACCTTCGAGATGTTTGAAGACGTTAGCTCACTGAAGCAGCGATGCTCTTCCTTTAGGGTTAGTGGAACTGCTAAAGAGAATTGCTAACAAAAAAGGCTCGAGGTACACCTAAGCACTTCTTATGAGTTGCGAGTGCGAAAGCATGTACATCATTCTTCCGCTCCCTTATTTTGTCTGCAGCGTATTTGCGTCGACTTTAGCATCGACTAGAGTTCCTGTATAGGCTCCCTACGGGAGCCAGAGTTGCGCATTTGTTTTCCCCGAGCCGCCACGCCGCTATTCGCCGAGATCCATCACGTGAGGAGCAAAGCATCCGTTGGCGTGCAAGAAAGCCACCTTTACGGTCGCTCCGCCGACGTTTCTCTTGCCCCGGCGTATGTTTCCCTGCTTTCCGCCTCCTTTTCCTCCTCTCCTGTTTTCCATGCGCGGCGGCGCGTGCGGCGCCGCTATTCGCCAGATTTAGTCACGTGAGAAGCAAAGCATCCAGCTCGTGCGGGAAAGCCGGCTCTACGGCCACGCGCCGAGGCTGAATGCGCAACTCTGCTACCCTAGGTAGCATATACAGGAACTCTAGCATCGACGGCAGAGCGGCGCTTTCTGCCGGCGAAGAGAGGGCGCCTCTTCTCGCCGCTGTGACTTTGGCGAAGAGAGTGCGCTGCTAACACGGAGCGTGTTAGTAGCGCACTGACGTTCACGCGGCGCCATGGGGTAAGCGCCCGTTGAAACTGGCGCGCAGCGGCCAATGGGAGCTTTTCGATGCGCGCCAGCCAATGGGACCGAATCCGAAAATTCATCAGCTTTGCTCCGCTCCTTTGGGATCGGGGAATTTAGGTTTCGTTGGCTAGCTTTTCGCCTGGTTTCATAGCTGGGAGATGGCTTCACTTGGAGAAAGGATTTAAGGTGCCGTTTGGCGCGGTTGCAAATCTAATGACGTCGGCTCGCTCCACGAAACAGTTCATGCTTTCGCATTAAAACGACGAAGAAGTTTCCAATCCTCTCACTTTTTGTGTGTGCGTGACATGAGGCGTCAGAAAATGAGGAACACAATGTTCGAAATTAGAAGCACAGAGTGACAGCCGGGGTCAGGTCCGTGTCTTCACAGTCTTAAGCCATCTTACCCAAGACGCAATTAACAACAGTGCGCGGTTAAAACACAATAACTTGGAGGGGGGGGGGGGGGGGGGGAGGGGGGGGCGTTCGCTTTTTCTTGGGAGTTTCGCAAATTAGTGCATATATCTATAGTAACGTTGGCTCCAACACACCCTTCCGGAAACTCCCGGAGGGCGTGCGACGAGGCTGATTATGGGGCTGGTCCGATGTACTCTTGTGCCGACTCGACCGCCTTTCATATCCTAGAAGCGACACAATTTATTCTATTCTGTCATGAGGAGCTCATAATGCACAATATATAATGTCAGCGCACCAGGGCCTGTTTGCTCAAAGTTAGTTAACTTTAACCGCGCTAAAAAAGTGAACCGCCCTTCCCTACAACAACCTAGCCAAATTCGACGAGGGCTGGAACAGCGATAGCTCCGTGTTTTATTATAGGGTGGTAGCTGGTGTCACCTACTGGTGTTAGCGAAGATAAGTGGCGTTCGTAGAAAAGTTCCAGAAAAGGGGGGGGGGGGGGGGGGGCGGACACCAGAAACGCGCGCCACCGGGTTTTCGCGACGCAGCGCGGCATACATTCGAACTCAAAAATCTTTTTTTTGTTGCTCGTGGTACAGATATTGGGTAAGGTAAAACAAACTTAACTCTTGTTTGGAAAAGTTCTAAATGTTTAGCTCATTGAAGTGAAGATCAAGCCTCGTTGAAGTTCTCTTCCAAGTCTGAAAGAGGACGACGAAGTTCAGTCCTACAAACGATGAGGAAGAAGTGAGCAGTGAAAGGTACACCGACTGCATGGTTGGACAGCATTTAAGAATTGCATATAACACCATCATTAAAAACCGCGGAAATCAGCTCCATTGGAAATAGACCTATTATTAAATTACCCAAGCATCAAGGAGAATGCTGGAAGTGTGCATCTACGCTCCGCACGCGTTGGTCTTCCCCGTATAAAAGATTCGAAGGAAATAATTAGAACAAGACTTTGACGAACGCGTGTGCAAGGCAAAATTTGTTTTAGGCTTTTGTTTTAGAACAGAAACTACTGTAGACGCCAGCACGTGCAGCGCGTGTAACTACACTCGTGGCATGCACCTTTGTGCTCGGGAAATTTAGCAAAAGGTCTATTGGGACGCTGTCTGCTTCTGCGTGCTATCAATACCCGGCCGATTGAGTCAAAGCAATCTAATAGTATTCCAGAGACGTTGCCATGTCGAAAATTACCGCGTTCATTTAGGCTTAGGAATGGTCAGAATCGAAAGACTATATGAAAAAAGGGGCGAGGTCATTGTTCATGCTTTGCGTTTTAAGTGAGGTAAGGTAAAGCGAAAGCCTCCTGCCCCGTTCATTGCTGACTAACGCGCCCGATATTGAAGCTACGAGGACATATTGTCATGAATGACAAAGGATGAGGCGAAGAATAACTAAAGAAACTAAACGTTTAATGAGGCGAACTTGTGCCAAGAACAAAATAAAAGTAAGGCAGCGTCGCAGGCGTCGATGTCGGCGAAACAAGCAGGATCGATCGCTGGAGCGAGACTGACTCGACAAGGTCGCGGGCGGCCTCTTATCTAGAGTGAGTGATCACTATCTCGAAGATTCGGCGGAGAAGGTTCGAACGTAGCGCACTCGAGGCGAGAATGAACACGCACTTTCTAGGACAGCAAAAGCAGGGACAAACGATAGAAGTTACGTCGGGTACAAGAATAAACGAGAACTTTCTAGAGGTCCGTGATCGAGCGTTGCTTTCTTAGCCCTGCGCGCGGCAATATTAGTTCAAAATCCAGTGACGCTCGCTCGCAGGGATACCGCCATGTTTCCCCGCCGTCCTTATACTCTGCCAGTCGCGACTCACGGGACCTAAAAATCCCCCTCGTAGGGAAGTACAGTTAACTTTGACAGCACTTAAAGTTAACCGGCTTCAATCAAACGGGCCCAGGAGGTCATCACACACTTTTATTTACCTCCCTTTTGCCTTCTCTGTATTTAGAAATCGAAATCTTCAGCCAATTTCAACTGCGTCCTCGATTCCTGGCAGATCTCACGCGGCATACGTCCAAACGTCACAATGCATCGAGCAGGCTCGGGGGGGGGGGGGGGGGGGGGGGGAAGGGGGAGAGGGTGGGGGGGGGGGGGGGGGGTCAGCGGCGCCGCCACATGTTTCCGGAATGGTCTACTGTATTTCTAATCAAGCAATCTAGTAATCTAACCTAAGAGCGTCTGACATCAGGTAAACTCGTAGTCGGCTGCTTTTTCCCACGGAGCCCCGTTCCCAGCCTTACCGTGGCACGTGGTCGCAGTACCCGGCGCCTGCAACGGCCGCCCAGAACGAAAAGTTGCCCATCTTGGTGTGTGAGGGCACCCTGGGCTGGCGACGGTGCGAGAAGATCTCGCGGCGGAAAACAACGAGCACCGCCGACGCGACGAGCAGGAGACCCAGGAGGAGGACGGCACCCCAGAAGGCCGCCTTCATCGTGTACTCCCTCAGGACGGCCGACACACTGTAGGTCAGGACAGCCCACTTAACCAGGCCGATACTCGCACTACGGTGCCGTGGAACGCGCCCATCGACTGGTGCGTTTAGCGTCAATAGGGAGTTTTCGTAGATCGTTTTCGCCGTCCCGCAAGGCCCTCCGCAATCCGCTACGATAGCGGGAACTCCACAGTCAAGGCTATCGGCGCGCAGGCGCAGTAGCAACTTCTTCGTTGCGGAAGGCTTAGCGGAGGGGGTAGCGCGGTCTACGAAAACTCCCTAATGAGGCTATAGGGGGTGTTCCCCGGACGCCATATTTGTGCGCGGTGTTCAAAGCACATGTTCAAAACGAGCTCACACTAATAGGTTGCCAAGACCGCCAATCTTGATGGTACGAAATGTACGAATGAATAGAACTGTGGAAGATTGCCTTCAGCACGCATTCAGCAGTCGCGCTCTCAACTCAAATAAGGCCAGAAAATACTCCCTATAGGGAGTATTCACTGGATGCCATATTTGAGGGCAATATTTCTAGCGCATGCTCCGAAGGAGCTCACATTACTAGGCTGCTAAGACCAGCCGTCATGATGGTGTGAAAGGCAAATTGCAGAAGAGCCTGCAGCCAGCACGCGCTCAGCAGTCGCGCACACAGCAATGGCCGCCAGTCCATACTCCTTATACACCTTTTCCACATGGGCGCAGCCATCTTGAACGTCGTCACTTCTGATATGCGGTAAAACGTCGTTTTGATCTCTCCACGTCGCAGGAAGGTGTTTACGAAGAATGCGTGATTGTCGCACATTCTTGGTTTGCCTCATCTATATTTGCTCGCAAATCCCAGGTTGAAATATTTTATTAATTTTTCATCTCGCATATCAGATACGGAACCCACGTGACTGAGATAGGCAAAGTGGACTTACTCTCTCCTTTCCCGTTGCGGAAGGGATCTGCAAAAGAAATATTATATGTACCCTCATTTGGAAAACCTCAACATATATCTGAGACAAGATTGACGACTCGAAACACACGGGCAAATTGAGAGTGCAATAGATCTGTGTAAGTCTTAAAAGGGCCCTGCAAGGACTTTTTACTGTTTTTAATTTGCACCGAACCTGAGCGCACTGAACGTAGTAACTTAATTAAACTTTTCTTTCCTCGAACTTTGCTTTGTTTTAAAAGTTATAGGCAAATTAAAATTACAAAAACAAGCAAAAAATAACCTCCCTCATGACGTCCTTGGTTGCTTGAGTGGCCGGGAACTAGAGGAGGGGTAGTGAGTTGAGCGAGCACTCACGGCTGCCGCACTCCGTGTCGACGGCTCGAGAGGGCGCCACTAAAGCACGTTCTGGCTAGGCTGTATGAAGCGGGCAGCCAGGGCGGCTCGCATTGCAATTGCTGCGCAATTAAACACTAATACGGCATGACCCTTCATTGGCCACAAACGGCAGCAAACACGGGATAAAGATCATTTCAGAACGGGAGCTACTTCGCGCTGCCATACCGCCAAAAGGACAAACCGCAAGCCAAAGCTGCTAGCCGAAGGCCTTGAGAACGCTCGGAACCGGTAGGATCCTCAAGCTGGTATAGGACCGCAGCGCCGCCGCGTACATCCGAGACCTCTCTACGCTCGCCGCTCGTTGGCGCCTGATCCCAATACACCTTTCTAGTATGGGCCGCCTTTTCCACCGCTTGGTGGCTGGAATGTCGACGGGTCATTTCTTGTTTCCCTCCTTTCTAAACTGCGTTTGTTTCTTTTCTGATCTAAAATAATGAACAAAAACTACTTTTATAAATAATTGAAACGGTTCGCGCCTTTTATATTTTGTAGTTTGACTAAAAAGAAGCTTTTAGCGGCTCTGACCAGTAGTAAGCCCAGGACCAAAGACGTCACATAACGCGCGCTTTCGGCACCGTGGGTCGCCCTCGTCGGTGGAGGAGGTTTCCGCGTCGTCCGGTTAAAATATGACGCACTGATATTTAATTACTCTGTCGGTGCCCACTGGCTTGCCCGAACCTCAAGAGACGTGGAAACCGCAGAAAAAGGTAGGTGCTTAAATATGATCGCAGGGCCCCTTTACGGCTATCGACCAGACATCCGCGTGTTGAGTGCGTCGGCTTACGACAAGCGTTACCATTGCAACCATGTACTACTCAGTGCGTCATGGCGCAACGCAATGCACAGCAGCGTAGTCAACACAAATCTATTAACTAGCTTTTAAGGCATTATGAAAGCGCTTACCGAAGGCACCACCCTAAATTAATGTGTTCTTTTTTTTTAATTAAGATGATATTTTTTGTTATCAACAACTTTCACATTCGCTGAAAAAAAATATTTTAAAAGAAATTCAAAATTAACTTCTCTTTTTTTTCATGAAATCCTTGCATATAAGACTGTTTGAAATTACGGATAAAGTGCAGTGTGATTGTACGGACCTCTGGACTTTGAGCCCTAGTGCGAGCGGATTCTATGGCGAATTCCATTGGTCGTTTTGGAGCGCGCCGGGATTGACTTTTCTGGATCGAGCCTATTTCACCGGGCGATCGGGATCGAGACCGACGTATTTCACTGGTCGTTTTGGATTAGTTCACGCTCCAGATCTCGATCTCGATCCAAAAAAAGTCGCTCCGACGATTTCGGGGGATCCAACCGGAAGCCAGCCGGGCCAGCCTTCGGCGCACACACGTGACTTCCTTTCTCGTGGGGCATCTCGCCCCATCTCGCCCATCTCGCCTCGGACTCAGAAGAAGAAGAAGCACGTCGCGGGCTGAGCTCCTAGATTGTCTCGACATCAAAAGAATTCGTCATGGCCGCTTGCTTACCCCTTGGCTCGACAGCCGGTTCGTTTTCCAGGAAGGAGAAGAGAAGGTATTTGCCGCGCTACGGCATTCCGGCAATCTTTGCTAGAAGCGCCTGAACCATTCCTGCCGCTCTTGCGCCGTACACGTGTTAGCTCCGCGATTGCGAAAACGTCTCCGCCGATCCCGGAGCAGTGGTCATGTCCCACTGGGGATACGTAGGCGGCGCGACCCCGTTCGGATCGTGTGCTCCAGTCCGCGGATCTGGTCAACTGATCCCGGCGCGCTCCAAAACGTCCAGTGGAATTCGCCATTAGCTAAGAGCAGCACTGTTAGTGTCCGTTACCGAAATAAATATAGAATGGCGTCTAATTAGTTTATAATAACATAAACGCGTTATAAAGTTTAGTTACTGCCCGGAAAAAGTTACTGAATAATGTCACCGTTACTTACAAAAAACAACGAACGTTAGCACTGCATTGCGTTGGATCTCAATATTTGGTAGCGACAAGACCATTACGGACTTCGACACCAACTAAACGTTTATAGAGTGACTTCTAGATTCCGATGGTGCGTTGGACCTTGAAAGGGGCCGATAACGTGACTAATTTTAATAAATGAACAGGAGTAAAGAGTGACGAAATTTGTTAGATAACGTCATAAAACAGTAACGCAACGTCTCCACTCGTTTGTCATTTCGAATATTAATGAGTGCGTTAGTTCATTATCTGCTCGGTTTCATGGGCGCCGCCATGTTTGTTTAGGTTGACGCCATGTCACAGTTAAGGGGGCTGCGCTTTTTGCAAAACTTCGTGTTTTTTTTTAGAAACCTTCGCACATATCGCAGTGCTTGAACGTCAGAAATGAATAGTCGCGGAGCTTCAATAACAACACCAACGCCAAGAGTAGAGAAAACAAGAACAAAAAAAAAGTTTTTTGCGCACCCTTTTTTTTTACTAGAGCCTGCGTTTGAGGTTAATATTTCCCATATTTATCTCTGGGAGCTAGGATTTAGGACATTGATTTATATATAGGAGGTATTCACTGGACGCCATATTTGTGGGTGATGTTTAGAGCGCATGCTCAGAACGAGCTCACGTTAATAGCCTGCTAAGACCGGCAACCTTGATGGTGCTAAATGCACGTTCCAAAAGGACTGCGGAAGCTCGCCGTCAGCACGCGCTCAGCAGCAGCGCACACGGATATGGCCGACAGTGAATACTCCCTATTGGGGAGGAGATCGAACTATAGGGGGAGCTTTATCGAGCTTGTTGTCCCCACAGCCCGATGTTTACTAACACAGGATAACAAAGAAATTGAACCTCGCCATGCACGGTCTGGACACGAGCGCTTCACTCTTACCAGTGCTTTGGTTGTACGAGGAGCGGCCATTCGAATCGTCACCATCGAGATCGCTGATCAAAAACCAACAAGGAAATTCGGTTTGTTGTCCCCACAGCTGAAGCGTGCCGCCAGAGGCGTGACTGTTCGATCTCCTTTCCAATACAGTGTATCCCGAACGGACCTTCCGCTGCAAAACGAGCCGGGAAAATCGGCAGCGGCGCTTACAATGTTTTTTCACATTTTTTTTCTGCGCAAGCACCCATTTTTCCGGCTCGTTCTACAGCGGAAGGGTACGCTCGGGATACCCTATAATGCAAGAATCACCAGCGGCTGCCAGGAGTGACGCCACGCGTTGGCACGAGTACCTGGACTCGTCCTCCTGCAGCTCCCTGGAGTCTCCTTCGGCTTGCGAAAGGTCGCTGTCTTCCTTGTGGTGCATTCTGGCGCGTCTCTCGTCTTTCCGCCAGTTGGCCAGGTGCGCGTACTCGGCCCCTGTCGAGCCCCGACGACCGCTGTCTTGACGGCTTTGGGCCGGGCGGGACGGACGGACCTCTTCCACCTGTCGTGGTCAGATTTTTCACGGGCATGGGGTCGGGGACATCAGCTCTCAATCAATGCGCAAAGCGCAAGTTCGCCTGCTTTCTGTGCGGCAGTGGCGATGATGTCAGAACGCCGAGCTCTCATTGGATTATTGAAGAAAAAAAAAAAAAAAAAAGAAGAGTGGGTAGACGTCAAGGCATCTAGCGCTGAGGTCTACCCACTATCATTTTAATCAAAGCCAATCGAAGCTCGGCATCCTTCTGACGTCACCGCATCTCCTGCGCAAGAAGCAGACGACTTGCTCTCCGCATACCCACAAGCGTCATTACTGGATGGATGGATAGAGGCATGAGGTTGAACCCTTGGAGTCGGGCGGCGACTTGCGCCACCTACCCAGTGTTTATTTTGTCCCTTAACGTTTATTTAGTGGAGCCACGCAGCGCCGTGTGTCAGCGGGTCGCCAACGGCGCGTCGTACAGCGTCTCATAACAAGCGCTACGCTAACGTGCGGCGACGCCAGGACGAACGCATCTGCCGCTTTGCGGCGTCTCTCGCGGAGCTTCATCGCGTTTGCCACTTGGTGCGCGTCAGTCGAGGATCCAGAAATGATGGCGAAATGTACAGGCCTTTTTTTAAGTGGTATTGTCTAGATCCGTTTTTTTCTTTGAAATCGTGGCTCCGGAAGTTCTGGTATGAAAACAGCGACACGAGAGGCTTTCCAGCGATTGGCTCCTGCCAGTGGTTGTAGTGTACACGTGTCTTCCCTGCCTAAAACGTCTCAAACCGGCCATTTCCTAAAAGAGGTAGTGTGACACAAGGTATGGACATATATGAGTAAGACCAATGAAGTTCAGGCTGGTGTGGCGCCAAGGAATTTCAGGGAGCCACTGCTACATTGAGCTGTTAAAGAAAAAAAATATATTGCCCGTCTTCCGCAGTATTGTGGAAGATGTAGGGGTAACACAGAATGTGACGCAGTGTAGAACTAGATGCTCAGCGCTGAATTCTTAGACGAATTAATATACAGAAAGAAGGAGCAAAACGTTACTTGCGGGGTTTGTACCTTGCAGGAGTTGCGTCGGTGGAAGGACACGGCTTGTCTTCGCCATCATATCAGTGAGATTAGCGTACGCGCTTGCACATAGCGTTGCACATAGCCGGTGGCAGGGACTCATTGGAAGCTCCTCCCATCTCTTTCCACTTTATCAGAGCGAATGCCGGAGAGGAAGTGACGTCGTCTCCAGCGTTCTTTATGCTAAAGCGA